GAGTATGGGCCACAGGCACTGGGGTTTTTGTTTTTTAAAACAGAAGTTTCCCAGGTTATTCCAATTTGGAGCCCCTGATCCACATGATTGACTTAAAACACAAACACACACACACACACACACACACACACACAGGGCAGTTATACCAATGCTCTCCCCTCAGTATGACTTTACGCCAAAAATTGGCCCTTTGATCTGTCCAAGAAGCTGGCAAGAAATACCACAACTTATTTGCAGAAATCCCAACCAGTTAGTTTGATTGAATTGCTCCATAAAGAACCACCGGGGCCAAAACACTCACCATTTGCCTTTCTAAAGTCTCTCAAGCCAACTTTTAAACAATATGTTCTAGAATTGTCTAAAACTGACAACAATCACACATTTATAATTTCCAAAATCTTTGAAAAATTGAACTTTCTGCTTGTTGCTGGCCTTTCGACCCTTCCATAATTCCATGCTGATTGTCATTCAGAGAGCACATCTGAAGGTGGTCTGTAAGGCGTGAATGACTGAGCTTCAGGCAGGGTGGTCAGCAGGTTTTTCATTCCGAACCACACATGCTGTGGTCTTTCCCCAGCTTACATCTCCTAATGCGACAAGGTCCCAAGGGCTGCTCTCTCTCTGCTACTAGTTATGCTCCCTGAAGTTGTAAGCTTCCTCTTCCCTCTTATTCTTGCTGGGAATAAAAAGACTTTTATTGTCTTGAGTATTTTCCAACAGCCTCAGCACATTCTGGCCATCGGACTTCCTGACGTTCCACTGAAGGGGTCACATGGCTCTTGAATCTGTTTTCATTGTCACATATGGAGCATGGCCATTTATCTTTGCACTTACTAGAGAACAGCCTGTGCAACCACACTTGTGGCTCAGTCCTTCCCCAGACCCACCACTTTCCTCCTTAGGACACCTATTCTCGAGTATTCATCAGCCTATCCTTTTTAAAAAGCAATCCAATCCCTCCAGCTAACTTCCCTTTTAGAGTCTGTGACCATGGAGTTCAAAACTGGTTGGTTGCATCTGAAACACAACTTTCCAAAGTCTACAGTGAAACACCTCTCCTTGCCTCACCTTCTCTCTGGCTTCACAAATGCTAAGGCGGATCCCTTTCTCTAAAAATCCCTATCACTTCTAATTCACCAACCTGTTCTCCCTTTGTTGGTGGGAACTGGTGCCAGCCTGGGAGCATCCCTCTCACAGCCTCTGTCTTAAGGAAGACAGAACTACCAGCAGGCTAGGCAAGAATGTGTCAAGTGTGCTGATGTAGGGAGAGCCTCAATTCCAAGGTGTTCTCTCTCAAAACTGGCATAGAAATCTGTTTCAACCATTAAGTCCACTGGGCTGATTGCCACACAGCCAATGTTCTCAAGTATGTGTCCAACTTTATGCATACATTTTCCTATATAGGCTTTCTTCCCCACTCCATCTCATAAAATGTTATTCTCCTACCTTCTCTATCACTCAAGGCCCAGGACTACTGTGGCTCCTTGTTCCTGAGTCTCCAGCCCCCTCCCCCAGTGAAAAAGTGGGCAAACTCCTCCCTGCCAGCCCTAGTTCTTCTATAAACAAGCTAGAGGGTGCCTTGAGATAAATATTTCATTTGTATTGCATCTTACAACTGCAAATAAGAGGCTAATTAATGCAGTTTTCTATGCATAAAGATTAATTCTGTTCTGGAGGTTTTGTCACCGTGCACTGATTACCTACTATGTGCCAGAAATTATGTATATTTATCTCATTTAACCCTCTCAACGACCTTGCAAGGATGCTATACTACCTTCATTTTACAAATGAAAAAAACAATACTTAGAGAGTTTACAAATATGTTGCCCAAGGGAGTAACTGGCACAGAGGGGTTTACCCCCAAAGCCTGGGTTCTGAGCCCTACTGTACCTCCACATCCACCAAATCCTACTTTTTGTCATTGTGCTATCAAGTCACCACTCAGATAAAAAGAATGCATACTAAGACAGCCTCCAACATCCACCTAGGATCTCAATACTTTCTGGAAGTAGAGTGGTACAGGAATGAACCCCTTCAGGTATGTACCTATAGCTGCTGCCAACCTGCATAGCCTCACTTTAGGACCCAAAAAAGCAGTCACTTGGCCTTTCAATGGGAGTCCTGCTCCTGGGGGCTGTCTCTAGTCGTACAATGCCCAATTTCTTCCCTAAATGGAAAGGTTCCTCATTTAACCACCCACCAGGAACCCCTTGGGAAAAGAGTGCAGAGTAAGGAGCAGAAGACAGGAAGCCCAAGATACTGCTCCCCTTATAGGATGACACAAAGCAGCTGTGATTAGATAGGAACACTGGCCCCAGATGAAGCCAGGGAGATGAGCATAGGCTAGAAATAGGGAAAGAGTATGCAGAGGAGCATCATCACTCTAAATAAAAAAGAAACACCAGGAATCAGGAAGCAAGCAGATGATCTGGTTTCCAAGAGGCTCCTGGGGATGCTGGGTCTGCCCTACCTGTACACTTAGGAACAATTTCTAAAGTTCTATTCTTGAGCCAAAGTCCAAGAAAACTCAGAAGCCAGTAATGTCTCTCCCCCTTTCCTGATCTCTCCAATCCTGGGACATGTCCCCTCTGCTACATGTCTGCTCAGGTCGAATGGTTAAGGCCCCAGTAGTCCCACAGGGTCTGCTAAATGCAGACAGTCCTCGGGACTCATTCTCTCAAGCAGAGTCTCTCTGTGACTATGCCAGGGACACATGGACCATGCCTTCATGGACTAGGGAAAAAATTATGGCTACAGACACAGTTATCATCTATGTATTTCACCAACACTTAAAAAAGAGAATCTACTTCCATCAAAACTTACAATTCATTTAAAAAAAATATATATATATATACAGCAGAAATGACCTATCCTTAGAATAAAGTTCTACTCTTTAAAACAAAGAAAGTTAGCTTTAAAGGAAAAACTCACTGCACTGTCCCTTTTTCACTGCTTCTCCAGAGACTAGGCAAAGCCTGTTGTTGGCCAGCACTGGTCCACAGACCAAGGTATGGATACTCTATGCTGGGATACTGAGCCATTCAGCCACATTTTCCCCAACCCTGGGGGCCTAGTGGGGCAGCCAGCGGCCATGGTCCTTAGGGACGCAGACACCTCTCAGCAGGGATGAGTCTCTACACCTCAGCCAACCCAGATGCATGTTATCTTAACCACGACCACCCAGCAGCCTAGGTTAGCAGTTTACACACAAAGATGACAGGGCCCTGGCCTCACTCCCAGCCCCTTTCACTCAGGTATGCCTCATTTTTGCCAAAAAAACAGCTTAAATGCAATTTACAAGGGCCACTGGCTCCAGGAACATCCAGCCCAGAGAACTCACCCTCCCTACGGCCAGAGCTCGATTATGGGAGGAATAGAGTGAGAAAAAGAGGGTACGGGAGAGGAGTGAACACTGGAAGGAAGGCTGAAAAGGAATCAGGCTTTGCTATGTGATCTGAGCAAGTCTTCCTTACACTCAAACACCAGATCTCATGCCCAGGAGTGAAGGCTACTCCTGAACCCACTTCCCTTTCAGAATTAACCAACAGGGCACTGGGCCAACAGGATGCTAAGTCCCCTCAACACTACCAGCACAAATGGGCTGGACATCATTTCCCAGCAGAGGCGGAAGCTCCTGAAGATTTGATCCAGATGTCTGCTTCGACCAGAGGTGAGGAAAACAGGGCAGAGAGTCCGTGCTCCCTGGGTCACCACATGCAGCTTCCACAGAGAGTGGGCAAGAGAAGGAGAAGGTGAGATGGGCAGAAGCATCACACCACCACCTACCTTCCCTACCCCCAGTGCTTGAATCTTTCTTCCCAGCCACCGGCCCATAGCTCTCCACAGCCCTCCAGCTCGTGGCACGCACGGCTCTGCACTCAGCGGTGAGGGAAATACTGCGCGAGTGCCACCAGCCCATCGCAGCCACAGGTGCCTGAGCCCTCAGATACACCGCAGCTCCTGATCCAGCTAGAAGGGCTTCAAATGCCATCAAGCATAACTCCTGAGTTGTCTGAGTCCTTCGACAAATTAGTGGCAAAGCCGGGAGAGCCCTGCAGACAGCGCCGGCCTCCGTCTCTGTCCAGCGCCAGTTCCGCTGCCTGGAGCGACCTCAGCCGCTACACTGTTCCTCCCAAGCTGCTCAACTTCTCTCGTCCCTACTTCTGCCAACTCTCCGCTGTTGCAGCCGCCACAACCTCCAACCAGCAGCCCTCCCAAAATGGAAAGGAAATATGGCCAATGCTGGGTCACTGCCCTTCCACTTTCTCCTCTGACCTCATCCCAACTCCTCCTTCCCTCCCTTTACCTCTCTTATCCCAAGAAAAGGGAATATTCCATCATGCAGCGCATCATTCATTCATTCTATTAGTATTTCTAAACCCCAAGGAACTGTGCCAGATCCTGAGAACACAGAGATAAAAAAGTTTCTGATCTCAAGAATTAGTTGGTCCAAATCTACGGGCTTCTCATTAAAATCCTAGTTTCAACTGGCTCACTTGCGACCTTTCTGGGAAAAACTCAAGAAAAGTTTTAACCAAACATCTCACTCCACCAAAGCAGCATGAAACCACTCTGTCACTCTACACCTGTCTTTCCAAATCCATCAGCTTCCATCCCTTACTTGACACTATCATTCCCCAGGTCACCCCAGCACTGAGATGACCTCAAAATACAACATAGAAGCTTCAAGCAGTACAAGAAACTTCTAGAGGTAAAGCTGCACACCACTTCTGTGTCAAACGCAAACATCAGAGATGAGAATGCAAGCTCAGAATCCTCTGCAACTTAGCAAGAGAGTTACTCTCATAAACTGTCAGTTCTGCCAAGGGGCCCAAGCCAGCTCCCAACTTCAGTTACACTCTTATTCACAGCCCCGCTCAAAGTTAGACCAAGAATATCAAAAACAGCTTTAAGAATGGACTGGACAAGTGTTTAACAAGACTCCTGTGGCTACAGTCCCTCAGGGAAGGGGCTACAGAACCCAGCAGGGACCAGCTTACCTCCTTGAGAAGCCCGGCTTTTTTCTTCAGCACCTCACACTTGCGCAGCTTGCAGATCTGGTGTGTACGGCGGTTTGTACAGCTAGTGCAGGCCCCACAGTTTTCCAGCCGCCGGCAGGGCTCACAAGTACCACACCGTTTCCGTTTCTTTCGCCCATCTCCACCCCCTCGGAGTTGGGGCTCACTCCCGGTCATCGGGAGTCCAGGCCCCTGGAAGCCTCCTACCATCACTTGGCCCTGAGGGAAGTCATAAATGCCTGGCAGTTCTGGCTGAACTGCCAGGGGCACCTGAAATTGGCTCATGGCGCTGCCAGAGGTGGGGACATAGGTGCCAGGGCAGACCCACAGCCCAGATTCCTGCCGGCAAAGGCCACCAACAGGTCCTTCTCTCCTAAAACAGTCAAGAGTCTACAAGGGTGAAGGCAAGTAGCATCAGTCTTCTGGATAGGTGCCTCTTCTCAATCCCTCTTCACCTCCTCTGCAGCAGTCTGACAGGGCTCAGTTGGGGGCCGCTCTCCCACCTGCTGGGGCCCAGGACCTGGGGGAGGACACCAGCAGCAGCCCCCAGGAAATCAATCATCTTGGCTGGGTGAGTTCTTCACCCTCACCCACCCTGGACCCAGGCATGAGGTGAGCAGGTGGGTGTGTGGCGGGGGCAGGGAGTTTCCTCCTGGTATTTCTCCTCCCCGTGTCAGGATGATGGAGAAGAATACGCTGCCTGAAAGAGACAGAAAGCGGAAGCGCATCACTAGGGGCTCAGGGACACTTTTACATGTTACCTCTTCCTGCTTCTGGGAAGAGAGAAAATGGGGGAAGAGAAGGGGCTTGCTCAAATTAAAGCCAGTCCAGAACCTTTGGCACAACCCTGCATGGGCTTCTTGTCTGAGGAAGACAGCCGGCCCCAGAGAACGAATTTAAGGGAGTGGTCAAGGTGAGATTTCTGAGAAAGTTGCCCTGTGCCCCACCCCCACCTCCAGGGGCTCGTGAGAGTTTCAGCAAAATTCCCACACACACCCCTTTCGGAAGACCGCTGGGCCCTCCCCAAGGACGCAAGGCTTCCAAAATAAAGTTTACTCAGTGCCTTGCTCGGCGGGGCTGCCCGAGTGTCCGGGCACGGAAGCGGCCTGCAGGCCGGGGGCGCGCCCAGGGGTAGCCTTTGCGGGCCGCCCGCCGCGCCCCGAGCCCGAGCCAGG